CACACTGTTGATCATTAATTGGCTGGACATAAATTTATGATAATAAATATTAGTCATGATTTTTGTGTTTTTTTTTCTTCCCAGCTTTATGGTTTTCTGCAAATGACCATACCCTTATTATTATTTTCTCAATGTTGGCTGTGCTTCTGTTCTGGGGAAGTGATATTACTGTGAGTAAGTACTTGTTTCTATTTTCATTTATGTTTTAGTGATGAAATTGTCATTTTAAGGAGGCAATATTGGTGAAATATTCTATTTAAGTTGTATAAAGAAATGTGATAATGTTATAAATCAGAATATACAGAAAAAGTGGCAGTGTAGTAATTGGATGCTGCAGGGGCAAACTCCCAGGACTAAACTGGAACTACAAATAAAATACAGAATAACTTCCTGAATAATCAGCAGAAGACTCACTGGAGAGAATCCAGATAAATGAGGATGGAAAGTAGAGACTGCATAGAGACTGGTAGGAGGGGTAGAGTAATAAAAGGACTGGCTGGGCTCCCACACACAGCAACTGAAGTTATGGAGAGATATCTCAACTGTGGGGTTTGCCACTGAGAACTCTGGGGTCTAATCCCCAAGCTTGGCACTCCAGCAGAGAGCACTAGAACTGAGAAGGGTATCCACATAACATAAGGCTGTGAAAAGCAGCGGGGTTGCTGTCTGCTAGGGAGAAATGGCTGGAAATGCAGGTACCCTACTAAAGGGCCAATGCACAAAATTCTCTGTGGAGTGACTCACCTTGTGGTCCAGAAGAGGGAGGACAGAGTGGACTGGAGCTGTGTAAGCAAAAGTGAGGATCAGGAGCTCTGGGGTTAGAACTCAGGAGGCAGACACCTCAGTTTCTGGAGCTGAGTCATTCCCTCATGCTGCAGAAGTCGTCTTTCTCATGCAGACATTTTCTATACAGGCAGCTGTGGGGAAGATAGGTGACCCACCCTATTTGAAAACACCTTACCCCATGGTGCAGAGTTTCTGAGGCCATTTAAGAGAATAATAATTATCCTCCTGGCAGGAGCAATTGCCCCACCCTGTTGGAAAAAAAACCCCACCAGACCCATGGATGATTGCCTGAGAGCTATTCAAGAGGCAATCCTATCAGTCTGTAGCCAGAGGCAGTCTCTGGAGCCCTTGAGTCTTTTCCTGATCTAATAGTCAGAAACAGTGTTTGAGACACCTGCAATAGAGATTGAACAGTATAGAAGATCTACCTAATACATACTCACAAACCCAAATAGGAAGCCAATATGAGGAGACAAAGAAACGACCTTCAACGGAACAACAAGAGAATTCTCCAGAAGAGATAAAGAAATGGAGATAAAAAATTTATCTGATATAGAGTTCAGAATAATGAAGGTAAAGATGCTCAACAGCATGGTAACTATTAAAACAGAAATAAAGAATGACACAGCACAAATAAAGAACACACTGGAAGGAATAAACAGCAAATTAGGGGAAGCTGACAACCAAATCAGTGAATTAGAAGACAGGGTTGAAAAAAAATCACTCAATCAGAGGACCAGAAAGAAAAAAAAATTAAAAAACAAGAGGACAGCTTAAGAGAGCTGTGGAACAATGTGAAACAAAACAATATTAAAATAGCAGGTGTTCCAGAAGAGGCAAAAAGGGAGAAAGGGATAGAGAACTTGTTTGAAGAAATAATGGCCAAAAAATTCCCTAACCTGTTAAAGGGAAATGTTACACAAGTACAGCAGGTACAGAGAACCCCAAGCAAGAAGAATGCAAACAGGCCCATGCCCAGACAAATCATAACTGAAATGCCAAAAATTAAAGACAAAGAGAGAATCTTAAAGTCAGCAAGAGAAAAGCAAACTGTTACCTACAAAGGTGTTCCCATAAGGCTGACATCTTATTTCACATAAGTAACTTCACATGCCAGAAGGGAATGGTGTGAAGTACTCAAAGTAATGAAAAGCAAGGATCTGAAACCAAGATTAGTATATCCAGCAAGGCTATCATTCAAAATAGATGGTGAAATAAAGAGATTCCCATTAAAGAAAAAAAATAGCTAAAGCAGTATATCACCACCAACCCAGCATTACAAGAAATGCTCAATGGACTGTTGTAACAAGAAGAAGAAATAGACAAAGAACCTAGGCATACAGAATTAAAATGGCAATAAAAAAGTCACTACCAATAATAACCTTAAATGTAAGTCGATTAAATGCTCCAATCAAAAGACATAGGGTAGCTGAATGGATACAAAAACATGACCCAACTATGTGCTATCTACAAGAGACCAACCTCAGAACAAAATACTCACACAGGATGAGAGTGAAGTTATGAAAAAAATTTCCATGTAAATGGAAAAGAAAAAAAAAAAGCTTGGGTAGCAATACTCATGTCTCACAAAATAGGCATCAAAATGAAGGCCATCACAAGAGACAACAAAGGTCACTATATAATACTAAAGGGATTGATCCAGCAAGAGAATATAATCCTCATAAACATATATGCACCTAATATAGGAATACCTAAATATATAAAAAATACTTCTATAGGACTTTAAGAGAGAGATTGACAACAACATAGTCATAGTAGGAGAGATTAACACCCTGCTGACTTCACTGGATAGATCTCCCAGACAAAAATTAACAAGAAATAAATGACTCTAAAGGACACATTGGATCAGATGGATTTAACTGACATTTATAGAACACAAGAGGCCTGGTGCACGAAATTCGTACACTGGAGGGGGGGATGTCCCTCAGCCCAGCCTTCACACTCTTTAATCTGAGACCCCTCAGGGGATGTCTGACTGCCAGTTTAGGCCTGATCCAGCAGTTGGACATCCCTCTCACAATCTGGGACTGCTGGCTTCAACCTCTCGCCTGCCTGACTGTCTGATTGCCCATTAACTGCTTCTGCCTACCAACCTGATCACCACCTAACCACTCCCCTGCCAGCCTGATCAATGCCAAACTGCTCCCCTGCTGGCCTGGTCAACACCAACTACCCTCTCCTGCAAGCCTTGTCCCCCCCAACTGCCTTTTCCTGCTGGCCCAGTCACACCCAACTGCCCTCCCCTGCAGCCCTGGTTTTCCCAACTGCCCTCCCCTGCCAGCCCTCTTATGGTGACCATCTTGTGACCACATGGGAATGGCCATCTTGTGTGAGGCCGTGATGGTCAATTTTCATATCACCTCTTTACTATATAGGATTTCACTGCAAAGCTGCCGAATATACATTCTCCTCAATTACACATTTATCATTCACAAAGATAGACCACATGTTAGGACATGAAACAAGTCTCCACTAGTACAAATTAATGAAGACTGAAATCATATCAAGCATCTTCTCAGATCACAGTGGAATGAAATTAGAAATCAACTATAGTAAAAACAACCCAAAAAATTCAAACACATGGAGGCTAAGTAGCATGTTATTAAACAATGAATAGGTTACCAATGAGATCAGGAAAGAAATAAAAAACATACTGAAAACAAGTAAAAATGAACATACAACAACCCAAAATCTCTGAGACACAGTAAAAGCAGTATTGAGAGGGAAGTTCATAGCAATACAGGCCTACCTCAGAAAACAAGAAAAACTTTCAATAAGCTATACAACCCTACAATTTAAAGAATTAGAAAGAAAACAAGAAAAGCCCTAGTAAGTAGACATAAGGAAATAAAGATTAGAGCAGAAATAAATGACACAGAGACTAAAAAAAAAAAATACAGAAAAATCAATGAAACCAAGAGCTGGTTCTTTGAAAGGATAAACAAGATTGAGGAACCATTAGCCAGACTCATCAAGAAACAAAGAGAGAGGATGCAAATAAATAAAATCAGAGATGAAAGTGGTGATGTAATCACTGACACCACAGAAATACAAAGAAGTGTAAGAAAATATTATGAACAATTATATACCAACAAGTTGGACAATGTGGATGAAATGGATAAATTCCAAAAAAAATACAATCTTCCAAAACTGAATCAGGAAGAATCAGAAAACCAGAATAGGCCAATAATAATTGATGAAATAAAAGCAATAATAAAAAAATCCCAGCAAACTAAAGTCCAGATCAGATGCTCTTCACAGGGGGGTTTTACCAAACATTCAAAGAAGAATAAACACCTATTCTCCTCAAATGATTCCAAAAAATCCAAAAGGAAGAAACACTTCAATGCTCTTTTTATGAGGCCAGCATTATCCTAATTCCAAAACTAGAGAAAGACACTACAAAGAAAGAGAATTATAGGACAATATCCCTGATGAACATAGAGGCTAAAATCCTCAACAAAATATTAGCAAATTGCATCCAGCAATATATTAAAAAGATCATATACCACGATCAAGTGGGATTTATTCTGGGGTTGCAAGGCTGGTACAAAATTCGCAAATCAATAAAAGTGATACATCACATCAGCAAATTAAAAGATAAAGATCACATAATCGTATCAATAAATGCAGAAAAAGTATTCAACAAAATTCAACACACATTTTTTAAAATTTTATTTTATTATTATTACTAGAGGCCCAGTGCACGAACACTCATGCACTTGGGGGGGGAGGGTGTCCCTCAGCCTGGCCTGTGCCCTTTCACAGTCCTGGACTCCTCAGCAGATGTCTACCTGCTGGCTTAGGCCCACTCCATGGGGAATTGGGCCTAAGCTGGCACTCAGACATCCCTCTGGCAGCCTTGGAGCCCTTATTGCTGCTGAGGAGGCAGGAGAGGCTCCTGCCACCACTGCTGTGCTCATAGTCGTCAGGCAGGCTCTGGCTGAGCAGAGCTCCCTCTGTGGGAGTGCACTGACCACCAGGGGGCAGCTCCTGCATTGAGCATCTGCCCCCTGGTGGTCATTATGCGTCATAGTGATCTGTCGTTTCTGGGTCGTTAGGCTGTTAGGGTCAATTTGCATATTACCCTTTTATTATACAGGATTTTTAAATCCTCACCTGAGGATATATATATTCATTGATTTTTAGAGAGTGGAAGAGAGAATGAAAGACAGGGCGAAACATCGATGTGAGAGAAACACATCAATTAGCTGCCTTCCACACATGCCACAACCAGGGCCAGGGCCAGGGCCAGGGAGCAGCCTGCAACTAAAGTACATGCATGCCTTTGACCAGAATTAAACCTGGTACCCTTTATTCCTTAGGCCGATACTCTGTATACTGAGCCAAACCAGCTAGGGCCCAACACCTATTTTTGATAAAAACTCTCAGCAAAGTAGGAATAGAGGGAACATATCTCAACATGTTAAAGGCCATACATGACAAACCTACTGCAAACATCATATTCAATGTGCAAAAACCCAAACCATTTCCCCTAAGAACAAGAACAAGACAGGAATGTCTGCTTTTACCACTCTTATTCATCATAGTACTGAAAGTCCTAGCCAGTGATCAGATGAGAACAAGAAATAAAAGGCATCCAAATTGGAAAGGAGGAAGTAAAACTCTTATTATTTGCAGATGACATGATATTGTACATAGAAAACCCTAATGACTCCATCAAAAAACTACTAGATTTAATAAATGAATTTGGCAGGATACAAAAACAACACCCAAAAATCGATGGCTTTTTTATACAACAACAAAGAATTCTCAGAAAGAGGAACTAAAAAACAATCCCATTTACCAGTGCAACAAAAAAATTAAGATACTTAGGAATACAGTTAACTAATGAGGTAAAACACTTGTACTTAGAAAATACAGGCCATTGAAAAAAGAGATAAAGAAGATATAAAAAAGTGGAAGAATATTCTGTGTTCATGGATTGGTAGAATTAACATCATTAAAATGTCCATACTACCCAAGGAAATCTACAGATTCAATGCAATCCCTATTGAAATACCAACAGCATATTTTACATATTTAGAGCAAACACTCTAAAAATTTATATAGAACCAAAAAATACCCCAAATAGCTGCAGCAATCTTGAGAAAGAAGAACAAAGTTGGAGGAATCAAAATACCAGTTATCAATTTATACTACAAAGCTACTGTAATCAAAAAAATCTGGAATCGGCATAAGAACAAGCATATAGATCAATGGAACAGAACAGAGATCCAAAAATTTGACCCACGCCATTACTGGTTAATAATGTGAATTTTATAATCAAAGAAAACACGATAATTTCAAGAGAAACATCAAAAGTGCTTTATTCAAAGTAATGTCCATCGCTAGCTACACATTTTCCCCATCCTTCAGGTAATTTGTGGATACCGTCCCAATAGAACTTTTCTTGTTTTGAGGCAAACCATTCCTCAAATTTTTCACTTCTTCATACGTTTTGAAGTGCTGCTCAGAAAGTGCGTATGCCATCAATCGGAACAAGTGGTAATCTGAAGAAGAAAGGTCTAGTGAATACAGCGGGTAGGTTAATACTTCCCAGGGAAGATCTTTTAATGTATCTTGAACTGGTTTTGGAGTCTATGGTATCATGAAGCAAAATTACTTTGCCATGTCTTCTGGCACGTTCTGGTCATTTCACCCTTTGACCCAGTGATCCCACTTCTAGGAATGTACCTTAAGAAACCCAAAACACCAATCAGAAAGAATGTATGTACCTCTATGTTCATAGCAGCACTATTCACAATAGCTAAGATCTGGAAACAGCCCAAGTGCCCATCAGTAGATGAGTGGATAAAAAAGCTGTGGTATGCCGAAACCAGTTTGGCTCAATGGATAGAGCGTCGGCCTGCAGACTGAAAGGGGTCAAGGGCATGTACCTTGGTTGCGGGCACATCCCCAGTAGGAGATGTGCAGGAGGCAGCTGATCGATGTTTCTCTCTCATCGATGTTTCTAACTCTCTATCTCTCTCTCTTCCTCTCTGTAAAAAATCAATAAAATATATATATAAAAAAGCTGTGGTACATTTATACCATGGAATACTATGCAACTGTAAAAAAGAAGAATCTCTTACCCTTTAAGACAGCATGGAGGGACCTGGAGCATACCATGCTAAGTAAAATAAGTCATCAGAGAAAGACAAGTATCACATGATCTCACTCATATGTGGAATCTAATTAACAAAATAAACTGATGAATGGAGTGGATCCAAAGACATGGAAACATTGAACATAATGCAGAAACTTGGAGAGAAGGAGGAGAGGTGGGGTGGGTGGGAGGTAATCAACCAAGGATCTTGTATGAATATATGCATAACCCATGGACTCAGACAGTGGGATGGTGAGGGCCTGGGGTGGGGGGCAATGGTGAGCTGGAGGGGGTTGATGGGGAAAAAGGGGACATATGTAATACTTCTACAATAAAGATTTTTTAAAAAGAATATACAGTTTTAATATTAAGATTCTCCTTGAAGCATATTTTGTCCCTCATAATTTGCTGCAGATCCTAAGAAGTTATTTTTGAAGAATGAATAGTGGGGATCCTAATAATAATAACATACCTAAACTCATGCTGATTTTAATGTATACAGAGCATTTACACACACATTATTGGTGAGTAGATGGTCACAGCTTACATTACAGTGTTAAGATAGGATTTTGCACTTCTGAGCATTAAGATTTCCCTCTCTTTATTTTCCCAGTTTGAACTCTGTATACATGTGTGCATCTTTGGAAAAGCCCAGTTTGAACCATGTTGTCATCCTTACTGTACAATTCTGCAGCCCCAAAGGAAGTAGCCCCAGGAGGGTGTGTTCTTTTATCATGTTTTGCTGGAATAGTCATGTGTCTAAACTCCTCAGGGCAGATCTTGGTGCGGCATCAGATGTAGCATGAACAATGAAGAATTGTCACTGCTAAGTAGAAAGGTGGCATTCTGGTTGATGATTATGCTCAACCAGGTACAATTGACCCTCAAACCACTTGGGGTTAGATTATGTGGGTCTACTTATATTTGGATTTTTTTCAGGAAATACTGTAAATGTATTTTCTCTTCCTTATGATTTTCTTAATGACATTTTCTATTCTCTAGCTTTCTTTACTGTAAAAATATAGTATATAATACATATATCATACAAAATATGTGATAATCAACTGTTAATTTTATCCATAAAGATTCTGGTCAACAATAGGGTATTAGTAGTTAATTTTGGGGGAGTTTAAAGTCATATGTGGATTTTTTATTGCACAAGGTGGGGGTGTCAGCTCTCCTAACCCCTGTGTTATTCAAGGGTCAACTGTATTTCCACATCAGTTTAGTAAAGGAAATTTACTAAATTAGTGAAGTTTTGAGGTGACATTCTAAAACTTTTAAACTTTTAACCTGTAAGATTTATTCCCTGTCTCCCAATAGTGTACTGAAATAGTCAATCATTGAAGGCCACTAAACATTTACAAAAGGCAAGGAGTAAAAAATGCTGATTTTGCTTATTTATTTCATTCCGCAACCTTTAAAACCAGTGAAAACTAGTAAAATATTATAGCAGATTGGCCTGTTGTAAATTTCATGATTTTTACTTTTACTCGGAAGTTTAAGGCATGTATATCTAATATATATATATATATATTAAAGCCTAAGTGACCATTCAACCATTCGACTGGTAGCTGTGATGTGCACTGACCACCAGGGGTGAGACACTCAACGCACAGGCATGAAAGCATGGGACAGACTGATGAATCTCAGAGGGCAGGGGGAAGAGGAAGAGCAGGAAGAGATTAACCAAAGATCTTATATGCATACTAGAGGCCCGGTATATAGATTTGTGTACCAGTGTGGTCCCTCAGCCTGGCCTGCAGGGATCGGGCCAAATCTGTGCACCAGGATTCCAACATCTCCTGAGGGGTTCTGGATTGTGAGAGGGCACAGCCCAGGCTGAGGGACCCAACCAGTGCACAAATCCATGCACCGGGCCACTAGTGATTATATAAAAATGGAGAGGGGGATGACTGGGTATATATTTAAGGGCTCTCCTCAATGGATGGCACTCTGTAAATAATTTGTGATTTCAAAAGCAAAAAAGGGGAAGCTTTTAGCTAACAGTGATAACTGGCAAGACATGTCACAACTCTCACTTTCAAAATGGTGTCTAAATTTCCAGTGGAAATTTTTTTTTACAATTTTGAAAGGCCTTTTATGTCAAGGAAAAGGCTGATATAGCATCAAGACCTCATCAGTCTTCCCTGATTTAGGGAAAGTCTTGAACCCTAGCGGCAAAGCCAGGCAATAAGACCTCTGTCATATATTTTTTGGGTAGAGACTTGCCTTTTTTAAGATTATAAAATCATTTCAGAGTGTGATTTGTTGCAGTTGGATTGACTGCAGTTTGCTGATCGTGGCATTCTCATTAATAACATTATTTTCGGTGGATTTAACCAGGAATGAGTCTGTTCCTGTTAACTATGTTTTGACAAAATAAGATTTACAATTTTTTTCTGACTTAAAAAAGTAATACGTATCACTTTAGAAAACCTTATACAATATAAGAATTTATAGAGAAAAAAACACAAAAATAATCTAGAATCCTACAACCTAGAAATAAACTATTGGTCTAGTGTAGTAAATTTTGTGCTTTTTTTCTGTCTTTTTTCTATGTATTTTTGTTACCTCTCTTTAAAAATGAAAAATGATAAATGCACTCATATAGCTTATATACTTGTATATCCTCATCCTTCCCCTGCCCATGTTTTCAGAAATATTCTTATAGCTGCCTCTATGTTCTACTTTCATGGATATACTGTAATTTACTAAACTCTCATCTTGATGGCTATTAAGGATGTTTCCAGTCTTTTTTGATTTAGGAAAGTAAGGCTGCTAAAGATACGTAATACTGTAAATGGCAGAGATATTTTAAGGCTTTTGATACATACTCCCAAGTGTTTTCTAGAAACATCGCATCAATTACTACTGCAAATGAAAATATCTTTCTCCACCCAGTCCTGACATCTTCATAATTCTGAAATCTTTGCTAATTTGATGGGTGAAAAACATCCTGTTTTAATTTTCATTTTTGTGTTAGTGAGGCGAATGTTCTTTTTTATATTTATTCTATTGGTCATGTTTTAGGGAATATACTTATGAACATAACTATTTTGGTGACAATATTTTATTTAGGCTCATCTTAGAGCAAATAACTTTGGTGCGTGTGAAAGGCACATATTTCTTTGATTCAATCAGCCTGGGCTCAGATTTGAAGGTGTTTATAAAAGTGCTCCCCAAACATTTGTGGAGTCCTTGTGCTGTGTGATGGGCACATTGTACTATCCACCTTGGCCTTGTATGGCTATTTCCTTCACCAGGTCAGGCAAGTTTTTCATTACTATTCTTTCAAATAGGTTTTCCATTTCTTGCTCCCTCTCTTCTCCTTCCAACACCCTCATGTTGGGAATATTGATAAGCTGAAGTTGTCCCAGAGGCTCCTTACACTGTCCTCTCTTTTCTTTTCTTTTCTTTTCTTTTCTTTTCTTTTCTTTTCTTTTCTCTTCTTTTCTTTTCTTTTCTTTTCTTTTCTTTTTTCTTTTCTTTTCTTTTCTTCTTTCTTCCTTTCAATTCATTTTTCTTCTTGCTGTTCTGATTGGATGTTTTTACGTCCTTATCTTCCAAATCCCTGATTTGATTCTCTGCTTCATCTACTCTACTGTTAATTCTCTGTAATGTATTCTTCCTTTCAGTTATTGCATTCTTCATTTCTGACTGGTTCTTTGTGTTGTCTATCTCCATTATGTTTCCTATCTCTTTGTTGAAGTTCTCACTGAAATATTTGAGCATCCTCATAACCAGTATTTTGAACTCTGCAGCTGGTAGATTGCTTGTCTGTTTTATTTAGTGCTTTTCTGGAGTTTTGTTCTATTCTTTAGTTTGGGACATGTTTCCTTCTCTCCTCATTTTGGTAGCCTCCCTATATTTGTTTCTATGTATTAGGTAGAGCTGCTATGTCTACCAGTCTTGGTAAAGTAGCCCTCGGTAACAGGTGTCCTGTTGCGCTCAGTGGCGCAGCATTCCCTGTCACCCAAGCTAGGCTCTCCAGGCGTGTCCCCTTGTGGGCTGTGTGCACCCTTCTGTTATAGTTGAGCCTTGATTGTTATTGGCATGTCATTGGGAGGGATTTAACCGCAGGACAGTAAGCTGTGAGGACTGACAGCAACCACAGCACAGGATCTGCTGTGCAAGACCCAACTCCACAGAGCAAGACTCACTTCATCAGAGCTCTGGTGCCTGATGAGTCTGCCCCTTGAGTGTGTCTCTGGTGGAAGTTGTTGGGTGGTGCTTCTGAAGCTGGCCACCTAATATGCTAGGTCTAGTAGGTGCAGGCCCTTTTGCCTGTACCTTGCCCAAGGCCATCTGGCATGAGGTACAAAGCAATCTGCAGATGGCTGTTACTTGTGCTGAGTTTGGGGGTGTCAAGGCTGCCAACCACTAGTGCTGCATCTGGGGCCACTTAGTAAGAGGCACGAGGCACACTGAGGCCAGATGCTGCTTGTTTTGGGCTTGTGAACATTTGAGAGATTTTAGGAAAATTTGAAGCATGAGCCCAGAGAAGCTGTTTGCATGGAAAAGCCACTGGAAAGGGCTTGGGTGAGCCTGCAAGTTGGATGGCACTGAGTCTCAGGGAATCACCAGCATGGGGCTAACAGTGTGAGCTAGTTTGATGGAGACACAGATATGGGGGCTCACCTGCTGGCTCTTTGTGGGCAATGTCTCAGCAAAGGAACAAGGGCTGCTGCCAGCACTTAGGTCTGGGGAAAAGCTGACTCTCCAGCCCTGCCCCTAAAGCCAGACGATTCAGCTTCTCACTGTACGTCCCTGACACATCTTTGAAGCTTCGCTCTAGAGCTAGAGTTTAGAGCCAAGAAGTCATTATATGGGTCCTTTCGTAGGAACTGCCTGGGATTCCAGGAGCCCTTTGTCTCCCTCAGCCACAATCCTCACAGTTTTCACAGCCAGAAGTTTTGTAGACTTTTCCCCCTGGTACTAGAATCCTGGACTGGGGGACCTGGTGGGGCTAGGCCACCCCCCACCTCAGGAAGGACCTGCACAGTAGAGACATCCCTCCTGATTTTTATCGATTACGTGTGGGTGTGATACCGGCCCATTCCTCCTCTCTACCCTTCCTAACATCTCTATATGTCTCTTTCTTTTATGTCCTTAGTTGTAGGACTTCTGTTCAGCTAGATTTCAGGCAGTTCTCAATAATGGTTGTTCTGAAAGTTAGTTGTATTTTTGATGTGGTTGTGGGAGGATGCGAGTACTGTGTTTACCTATATACCATCTTGACTGGAACTCAGGTAATCTACTTTTTCGAATGTGGTATGTTATGGCCTCTAAAGTATAAATAGTAACTATGCCTCATGACTTTCACGTTATACTACTAGATTTCTAGTACTCCTTAACTTCTTTGATGACAATGTATGGTCTGTACTTGACCACAGGGGGTTTCTCTCAGTGGTTTTTCTAGTTCTGCATGTCAATCTTTTGGTACTCCAAGATACCACCTGGACCTTCGTAGGTCAAACATTCAGTAAAGACAGCAGCTTATGCTTTCACTTGGAGGAGAAAGAGTTTCCTTATACCAGAACAGTATCTTGAACTGATCTCAGGGGGCCTTTGATCCTCCTGAGGACAACGCCTGAGAAAACTTCTGAACTCCTGAAGCCAAGCCATATATGTTAAGTACTAGACCACCTTTCAAGAACAAAGGCATCCTACAGGGAATGTTCCTACATACCTTTGCCTTTAGTTTTAACTTACCAATTTGTAAGTTGAGTCTTATACTTAGCAAACAGCTCACAGATGACTGGAATCAAACACTGAGCTTTAACCAAAGTAACAAATCTCTGACAGTGCTGCATTTCAGGCACTTTGTTTTATTCTGACTCAGTTTCCCATTCCACTGGCAGTTAAGTTCCTGGTTAGCTTTCATGGCTCTTCTTCCTCATTCTTTGATTTTATAACAGGTACTTTCCACTATTGAAATGTTTGATAAATGATTTCAAGCACTGCTTATCAAGACCTCTTGTTCCTGCAAGATTAAGTCTCAACTCCACCTCAAGAATTGGCTAACATTTCGAAACTCTTTGAGATAGTTATATCTAGGCTTGCCTTTCCCTTCACTGAACTTTTGTTGTTTACAAGAAATCTTTGCATTGCACAAAACTGGGAGACCATAAGCATGACCATGTAAGG